GCATACTCTCCTGCCAGTTGTCTGGATGATAGCAGACTTAGCTTCTTTAAATCTTTATTCACATACCATATCCTCCTTCTCCTCTAATTCCTCCTCCTTCTCCACCACCACCACCACCACCACCACCTCCTCCTCCTCCTCCTCCTCCTCCCCCTCCTCCTTCTCTTGTTCCAACTGAATTATATCTCTAGATTCTCAGGGTCTGTTTGGGTTCTTATTGAAAATTACAATCCTTGTTTTCTGGCCCCTACATGTCACTCACATTTCCCCTTAATAAACAGCATACAATGCCCCCCTCCCTCACCCCACCCCCAAGTGGATAAGTGAATGAATCAGAAACCAACAGAGTGAATGAGATTTCCCTATGGAAGGTATGTGGGTCGAGAAAAGTAGAAGGTGATGGATTGAACTCTGGATCTGCCTTTAATAATGGAGGGAGAAATAACAACTTCAAACTTAGTATTCTAGTTTAATGTGGAGATCATAAAAGTCAGCTGCAAAAACAAATATCCAGGGAGTATCACTTAAATGATATATGACCTACAGATTCTTCTTGATATTCCAATTTTAATCCTTGGATTAAGCTAAGCTGTGTAAGAGCTGCTTATCTACGGCATTGTTATAGCTCTTTCTGGAACTGTTTTGATTTTACTGAGCTTTAACTTTAGGCCGTTAGCCTACCATGAAGGACATTATTTTAAAAGTCCTCTGAGATTTCATCAAATGACTGAATTTGTGGAAGCTGTGTTGTTGAAGATGATCTGTATGTGAGAAGGTGCCCCTTCAAATGAGGACCAACAAGAGAGGCAGTTCCCTTGAGTTTAATAACAGTAGTAACTGTGTGTCCTTTCAATCAAGGTTTTTGATTTTGTTTTATGGAGATTGCTTTCTATGTTAGTGATTGATCCATTCTCCTTCCACCCCTCCTTCTTCCCTTCAATGCTTTTAATACACTACCACCACAATCAATTTTTTTTAGCACATTTCATCACAAGAAAAAAATTCCCATGTCCTTTAGGTGTCATTCCCAAAGGTTCTGTTTACTTCAGCCGTAGGCAGCCACTAATATTTTTTCTTCAATGGATTTATTTATTCTAGGCATGTCATATAAACAGAATAATATATAGTCTTCTAGGACTAACCTTCTCACTCTGTATAATATTTTTGGGAGATTTTTAATAAATATTTTTATTATAAAGATACTGTACAAAGGGGTTACAATTACATGAGTGAGCCAATGAATACACGTCCTATCGAGCATTGTTACTCCCTCCCTGTTTTTCCCCTACCATCCCTTCCCTCCCCACCTCTCCAATTTCTCCCTCCCCCAAAAGCTGTAAAGTTTGTTTTCAACATACTGTTTTGTACATCTCATTGTCATAACTCTTTTTTGTTTTTTTAATGGCTAAATAATATTTTGTTACATGGATACCGCATTTTAAAATACAGTCACCGATTGATGAATATTTGAATTGTTTACATGATTTGGTTATTATGAATGATGCAGTTATGAATAATTGCAAGTTTTCATGTAAGCATATGTTTTAATTTCACTTGGGTAAATGCTTAGGGGTAGAATTGCTGGGCCAATTGTAACTTTGTGTTTAACTGTTTAAGGAATGCCAAACTCTCTTCAAAGTAACTACCCTACTTTACATTTTCTATAGCACCCTCACTAACAGTTGTAATCATCTACTTTTTGATTCAGGCATAAAATGGTATTTTAATGTAGAGTTAGGTGTTTTTTTTTCCCCTTTTTTTTGAGACAGAATTTTTGCTCTGTAGCTTATGGTAGACTTGAACTTGCTTCCTGCCTTAGCCTTGAGATCTGAGATTATAGGTATGTATAAATGTGGTTTTTGATTTGCATTTCCATAGTGACTAATGATTTTGACTATTTTTTGTGCTTACTGGTTATCTGTGTATCTTCCTGGAGAAAGATCTATGTGGATCTTTCCCAGGTGGGTTTTTTGGGGGAGTGGGCAGGGATAATTTTATTATTTTATTATTTTGTTGGTTGTCTCTTCACTTTCTTAAAGTCTTGCAACATAGAAGAGATCTTAATTTTGATTTAATCTGGTTTTCATTTAGTCTAGTTTTCATCTTTGTTGTCTTTATCTTTACAGTTGGCATCATATCTATGAAATCATTATCCAGCTAGGGTCACAAGATTTATTCCTATGGTTGTTTATTTCTATGGGTTTCATAGCTTTAACTCTTAACAGAGTAAGTAGGGGTGTTGCAGTGAGGGTTCATTCCTTATTTTTGGAAGAGACGATTCTCCATTGAACTGTGTTCACAGCCTTGGCAAGAATCAGTGGACCTTCAATCAGTGGGTTTAGTTCTGTGCTCTGAGCTCTATTCTATGTCCTGTGTATCTGCCTTGCTGCTTGTTTGCCTTGTCCACTAGGACATTTAGGGCCAATGTGAAGCTTCCTGGAAGGTGTTCAAGAGCCTTAGGGCCTAAGTTAGTCGATTCACCTGTTTTTATTGGCTCAGATTTCTTCTCTGTCATTGTTATGTGTGTTTTATGAAAACTGCCTCCAGTCTTTCTGTAACAAGGTGTGTCACATGAATAAATATACTCCTGTTCACATATGTTTTAAATCAGTTCCAACTGAACTCTGCCCCATTTATACATTTCTGTCAGCTGAAAATGTGCTTTTGCTGTTAAACACCTTAAATGTTGCCCTTGTTAGTAAATCAGAAACAGCTATGATAATACCTTTGTATTTACTTTTATTTGGAATTCATGTAACATACAAGGTTAGCACAAACTTGACTGCTTTGCTCTGTTTATCAGCTATAACTTACTTTCCTCCCCATAACATGTTAAATATTTATGGTTTGTACACTAAAAAGTGTCTTGAGATAGAATTTGGGGTTGTGTTCGTAGAACTATAAACATTGACACCAATTTGTTCAGTGATCCCATTTCCAGGTATCTAGTCTAAACAGAAACATGTAAAGTTATAAAATGTTTGCCAAATATAAATTTTAATTGTGAAAAACTGAAAATAGCTGGTGTATCTCAGAATGGGGAATTGATATGTTAGCTTTGCTATCGTCACTGGATGGAATATTGTGACTCTATTTATTTATTTATTATTGTGAAAATACATATAGAGAGATTACAATTACATTAGCAAGATAATGAGTACATTTCTTTTTTGGGGGGAGGGGGAGGGGTCTGGTCATTGGGCCTGAACTCTGGGCCTGGGCACTGTCTCTCAGCTCTTCAGCTCAAGGCTAGTGCTCTACCACTTGAGCCACAGCGCCACTTCCAGCTTTTTTTCTTTTTGGTTATGTGATGCTGAGGAATCGAACCCAGGGCCTCAGGCATGCAAGGCAAGTGCTCTACCACTGAGCCACCTTCCCAGCCCCAATGAGTACATTTCTTATCAAGCATTGTTGCCTCCTTTGTTTCCCCTTCCCATCCCTTTCCTTCTCCCACCCCCTCTTCCCCCCTGCCCCACACCTCCCCCCCCCCCCCCCACAGCCAAAGTTGTAAAGTTTGTTTTTTGACATAACGATTTGTACATCTCATCGTACAGGTCCACGTGTATCCTTGTTTAAATGATTTGTTTTTTCCCTTCCCCTCCAGAAATTATACTAACATCAAATACAGTGAAAGGAGGGGTTATACTGTGGGGGAGGGACATACAAAGCAACAAAGAAATCATCTTATAAATGTGTTAGAAACAATCACATGAAAGAAAAAACATTTGAATACTTACCTTGGGGTTCATTTCACCTAACATCAACTTATCTGACCTTTTCTGCTTGTCTCAGACATATACTAGTTATTGCAAATAAGGGAAACTATGGGACCTATGTTTCTTTGGGCCTGGCTTACTTCACTTAATATAATGTTTTCCAAGTCTTTCCATTTCCTAATAAATGGGGCAATGTCATTTTTTCTGATGGAGGCATAGAATTCCATTGTGTAGAGGAGCATCTAGAGACAGAAGTTAATGGCCTAGGAAATTTGTGACTCTACTTTAAAAGGCAGATTAGCAACTTTAATGGAAAAAAGGCATGTGAAAAATACGACAAAGCTGGGAGCTGGTGGCTCATGCCTGTATTCCTAACTACTTATTAGGAGGGGCTGTTTAATTACTTAGTATCTGGATTTTAGAAGCTATCTTAGAATACTAAAATGAGTAACACAGTTTTTAATCACATTTCATAAATTCTAATTTAAAAAACTTTAATAAGTAAATAATCAGATAGTTTCACTATTTTAAATTATTTCAACCCTGATGTTCAGAACAAGAGCCTTACTGAGTGTTTTCCCTGAGACAGTAGGTCAAACAGCAATGTGTTTGTATTCTAGAATTTTGTTTTCTTGGATATGTGAACCATTTACAACAAAAGGGAAGAGGATGACAGGGATAAAAGACTGATGCATGAATTTCTGCTAACCTTTTCTACAAAAAAATACATGTTTATAATACATTTTAGAAGGCTATGTCCTTTATTTCATTTGTCTTCAGTTTGGGTTCATATCCTTGTTATTTTAAAAGACCCTGAAGCTATTTTCTGGTGGCTCATTCCTCTAACCCTTCCTATTCAGGAGGAGATCTGAGAATCATAGTATAAAGCCAGCCTGAGCAGAAAGCCTGTGACAGTCTTAACTATAATTAACTAACAAAAAGCTGGAGGTAGAGCTGCGACTCAAGTGGCAGAGGACTAGCCTTCAGCAACAAAGCTCAGTAACAGCAGTAGGCCCAGAGTTTAAACCCCAGGACTGTCTCTCTCTCTCTCTCTCACACACACACACATGTCACACACACACACACACACACACACACACACACACACACACACACACTCATACTGTAAGAAAATATATTTAATATTTTCCCCCAGATGATTACAGAGTGATTTTCTGTTCCTGTTTTAAATGTGTTGTCCTTTTGTATCTTTTACTTTAGAGACCCAGCAATATGAAAAGTTGTAATTCTCACAGGAATTCTTTTTGTTTTTTCTCTCTGCAGATGCGAATCTGGTTACACTGGACAATATTGTGAAAAGACAGACTTTAGCATTCTCTATGTAGTGCCAAGTAGGCAGAAGCTCACTCATGTTCTTATTGCAGCCATCATTGGAGCTGTACAGATTGCCATTATAGTAGCGATTGTCATGTGCATAACAAGGTAGGTAATAATGTAAGAAATGTCTACTTTAAGTTAAGGGTGGGTAGCTGTTGAATTAGAGAAAAACCTTGAAGCATACTCAAGGTGATAGGGGCCTGAAGTTTACTAGTCTATTAGGGAGAAATCCTAGAGTCCATTCTCTGACATTCTCATGTAAGTCTGACCTCTTCCTGTCTTGCTTCTTTAGAGTACTGATCAGAGCTCATTTGTGAGGTTAGAAACATATCTGGGTTACAGGCACAGAGAATATAAGAACCGTCAGTGGAATAAAGGAATTTAGAGATCTTAGCACTGCGTAGTACTCGCACTGCATTCAGTGCAGTTATGGTAGTAGCAGAGTTTCTAGAATGTTCTGCACCTGCACAGAAAAGCCATGTAGCAATGTCTTAAAATCTGCACAGCTGTAATGTGTTTCATGCTCTGGCAATATACTTTATTCCTGTTAATTAAGGATAACTACTTTTCTTACTATATCATTGTCTTGACATTATTTCATATTCTAGATTATAGTGACAAGTCACAGACTTTAAAATTCTGTGTTGTATATAAAACCATTTGCTGTAATGAAATAATTCATTTGAAATGTAATTGGCATAAAATGGGTGTTTTTCTAAGCTGAGTGGAAATGTGTCAGACCCTAGAAAAGTCGGAGCAAAGGATATGGCGCTTCCAAGGCTCATACGTTTTCTTTTTACTTCTGTTAAGGTTCAGCTGTTCTGTAGATACCATGTTTGTACTTTCTGCATTTTTCTGGGCAGAGCATTGGATCATACGAAAGACAGACATTGGCATGGTATCGTGGATGTATGGCTTTTCTATCCAAGGTCGGGTTAGGAAGCCAGACTTTTAGTCTCAACCATCTGCAGCTGATACGATAAATCTAAAAATGATTAAAAAAAAAAAGTTCTCTGAGCAATGGATATTTGTCATGTAATTCAAGCACTGAAGTCTGATCTGCCTTTAGGCAAGCTGACTAAGTATACAATTGGTCAGTAGATCAACAGCAAGGTAGTTGTGGTTATGTAGCACAGGCCTGAGAGGTTAAGTTTGACTGTAGTCATCCAACTAGTAAGTGGAAGTACCTGAGATTCTATTCATGGGTGTCTAATTCCTTAATCGTTCCTCTTTCCACTAAGTCATCAAGGGGCAGATCAATAGTGAGGCATGTTGAGAAATAGGTTTGCCAGGTGTGACTGTTGAATGGAAAGCAGGGGCGAACTTCATTTTTGTTGCAGTTTAGGGTTTTCAACCAAGGGAGTAACTTGGTATAAACCATTTTTCTAGAGCATTAATTGAAAGGTTATGTATAGAATAGAGTAAAGCAAGAGGATAGAGATCAATGCTTCAGAAGGTGAAAGAGAAATGAGTTAGAGAAGGCTGGGAGATAGTACAGTACCCTGTAAGAGTATCATAGGGTAGAGCATTGGGAAGTGGCTTTGAGTTCAATCCTCTCCTTAGAGAAGTGAGGGGGCTGACTTCTCATTTGAAGTGAGAGGAAGCTAACTTCCTCAGTTGAAAAGTATCTTGCCCCAAGCTAGAGACTTAGGCAAATCCTTTTCCAGCCTAATCCGGATCTAGCCTTTTCCCCACAGTGTATTTCTGCTCTTAGTGTTCCATAATCTCCAGCTACTAAAGTTGCCTGGCTGGTGTTCGCTGTGTTGGTGTCCTTGAGTTTCTATCTGAGATCCATTTGCTACCTTCACCGTCACTTGGACCCCAACGTGATAGTGTTTTCACTACATTTGATCTCTGTGACTGGAGGGTTATCTCAGTGTAGTAATTACAGATTCCTCCTTGAGGCCTTTTTATTTTAGTGTTCTCCCTTCTTACCCAGACAGTCTTGCTGTCTTGTATTTGAAATGTTATAATTATGTCTGTGGACTTACCATCATTGAATTTTCAGGCATGCCTCTCCCACACAGTCCATTATGGGACAGCTGTTCATCTATCTTGTGGTTACTGTTGCTTGTTGAAGAATTTTCCTTTAAAAGATGTTCCCATGTTCCCACTGACCTGCTCATCAAGTCTCTGAATCATATTTTCTTCTTGGATGCTGATAGTCTTTTTTGGATGTTTTTAGACTCATGGATCACAGATAGGCAGGGCATCAATCATAGCCATATATACTTCCTTTATCTTGTAGAAAAAAAAAAAGCCACTCCTCCGGAAAGGCTGGGACTTTCCCAAAGGTAGTCAGTTAGGGATAGATGGTTCAGGCCTAGATGGTTCAAGAGGGTTTTGACTTCTTAACTCATTTCCTCATTTATGAAATTGCTATGATTCCAGCTCTACCTCCCTCAAAACTATGTTTTATGTAAATTAGTGAGAAAAATCTTTTAAAAACCATCTACATTAAGTCTTTTAAAGGCAAAACAGTGCCCTTGGGAATGGGATAAAAATGTAGAATATTAGAGTAGGAGGCTTCATTATTCTAAGATTTTCATTCCATTAAGGAATATCGAAGTGGCATAGCTAGTTATTAGGACTCAAACAAAATTACCAGAATGTTTCCCAGCCTTTTTACTTTGCATAACCCAGCACCTTGGGCATAGACAGAGCCAGGTTTGTGATGTAGTGAGCCAGGGAGAAGAGCAGTTATGGTACCATGAGAGCTGCTTCACAGTAGGGAAGCATTTCTAGTAAAAGAAGAGCACAAGTCGGGAGTCACACTTTCCCTGTGGGTTCTGTGGAATGCCCTGTCAACATGTGGACAGAGCACATTCATTGTGAGTTATTGTCTAAAATCAGTGAACATTCCAATATGTTCAAATTTGATGTTAGAAGCGCAATTCTTTCTGATTTCAGCCTTCATCTAAACTTGTCATTTTAGGAATGTGACAATGCTCAGGAGACAATACACTGGCCAAAGTCTTCTATGATCACAGGCATTTGTTTTGTTTTATTGTTGTTTTTAATGTTGTTAGTCACTGTGGTCAGGCCAGTGGGGTAGGCATTCTTCTCAGGGATGCGTGTGTAGCAGTTTTGCTTGTCCCTGTTCCTAAATATATGTCTGATCTTTCTATCTCCCAGTTTGATAGGTAACAATCTGCTATCACTTTTATCTTGCAAATACATAATGTGTATCAGCTAGCTTCTTGGTGTCTCTGTGTATAAACACATGCAATAGGATTTTGTATGCGAAATGTGTATTACTCAGAAACACTTGAAATCTCTTTAACAAAATGGTTCAATTGATCTTTTCCTTTTTTTTTCTTCTTTTTTGTATGGAACAGAAAATGCCCCAAGAACAATAGAGGACGTCGACAGAAGCAGAACCTAGGCCATTTTACTTCAGATACATCCTCCAGAATGGTTTAAATGGATAACTTTTATATGCACACTGACCATGTGATGTACATTTACGATGTCTTTTTTTAAAGAATGGAAACATTTATTTCAGAGGCCTTATTTTTGGACATTTTTAGTGTAGTACTGTTGGCTCGTATTTAGAATATTTAGCTACAACAGTTTTGGACTGTTTAGTAGTCTTTGTTTTATGTTTTTAAATACAGAAATTGGTTTCACAGATTTGTACCACATGGTAATACTAAAACCTTGTTCTTTACCCACGGAATGTAATATTTTTGCAAAGACGGACCCACTTCACAAATGGTTCTAAAGTCATACTTCTCTCCCAGTGACCATTGCAAATTGACCAAGCATGAACTAAAGGTAAAGATGTTTACAGATTACTTTTCTTACAAAAAAAAAATCTAGAAGACACTGTGTTTAAATAGATATTTAAATGTTTTTGAGATTTAGTATCTGATTTTTTTAGACACTGCCTACTGCATGAACTGTAAAGCTGTGTGTGTTAGATGTAAATTATTTATAAGATGGACTGGAATTTGATTATTCTTCTTTGAAAAAAATAACTAATAATTTGAAATAAAATTACCTGGTACTAGTAATAAGGGAAACAAATCATTGAAAAGTAGATTTAGGTATTGTCAAAATAGACTGTTAACAGATTGGGATGAAGCCTACACTCTCAGTTAAACTACTTTAATACACATTCATTTTTAAGCAGACTATTTGTTTTAACATAAATTGTATCAAGTGTTTGTGAATATAATACAAAAAATGATTGTTAATGATTGGTGCTCTTCAATTGAGCTTAAAAAATGACCCAAGATCTCTCTCAAATTTGTCCTATAGTAATAGCTAGATGAATAGATTGTTGTTGTTTAAAAGTCTGAAGTGTGAGTAGAATGTATTGAGCTGTTTAACGTGTAGTTTAGGTACTCAAAAGTATGCATGTAGAATTCAAAGACTATGTTCAAAATTAAATATTAATTTTCATATTTGGTTTGGAAAAGCATGTTATAATATAACATTTTCTCTATATGGCCTCTGTTTTGGTGTGGTTATTTACTATATTGTTTGGTATTGATATATCAGTCTATATAATAATGAAATTAGTAGACAAAGCAATTCCCCTTTGCTTTTACAAATACTGTTTGAAATGATCTTAAGACAAAAGGTTTCATCCAATATTTGTCAGTTGCTTTTTTTGTTACTTGGCTTATAGGCTTAATATTTGTAACACAGTGGCTTTAATGAACTTAAAGAAAAAAATCTTTCCTCTTCTACCCACACAGTCTTATTTGAGTCCCTTAGTCAGTCAGCAAGCATGTTTGGAACAGTCCCCAGTTCTTTGCAAGGGCTCATATTGCAGGACAGTCACGAATGGGTATTTGTAGTTATAAATACTTGACCACTCTCCAGCAAGTGGGCTTTCCAACCCTTTAAACAACCCTGTTGCCTGTTACCAGGCTGGCTTTTGGTTTCAAGTGCCAGAATTGATTGTGGGTAGGACTCCTTTCGCCGAGAAACAAATAAAATGGAGCATAATGGGTCTGCTTCCAATGGGGATAAAATCCACCAGAATCGTCTGTCCAGTGTTACTGAAGATGAAGACCAAGATGCTGCTCTTACCATTGTGACTGTGCTAGACAAAGTCGCTACCATCGTGGACAGTGTACAGGCAAGTCAGAAGAGAATAGAAGAGAGACACAGGGAGATGGAAAATGCCATTAAATCTGTGCAGATTGACCTGTTGAAGCTTTCACAGTCACATAGCAACACTGGCTATGTTGTTAACAAACTATTTGAGAAAACTCGTAAAGTCAGTGCTCACATAAAAGATGTGAAGGCCCGGGTGGAGAAGCAACAAGTTCACGTGACAAAAGTTGAAACCAAGCAAGAGGAAATAATGAAGAAGAACAAATTCCGCGTGGTTATATTCCAGGTGAGCTCAATTGCTATCATCTAGTATTCTGTAATTGTCAACAAGTCGTATCAGAGGTGTCCGGTGTCACATCTTAGTCCTTGTATATATTTAGTGGAGTTCTATAACAGCAGAAAGCTCAGGAAATAAACATTTCTGTGTTACCTTATGAGACTCTCCAGCCTATCTGTATTTTGAGCTTCTCAAAGCATTTCATGTAATATGAACTGTGTGGCTCAGAGCTAAGACTATTTCTGCCTTTGAAACTTAATATTGGTCAGGCTCGTTCAGCATATTAGCTTTCATACCCCTACAATTTCTCATAGAGAGCCCAGAAAATTTAACCTGTAAAATATAAGCTTTTCAGAATATAATTTATTTATTAGAATTTTTATTTGTACTTTACATTAGTAAGAAATGTTACCTGTTTCTAAGTAGACAGTCAGGTAGTTGTTTTATTTTTATATGGTTAATTAAGATATGGCGGTTGGATAAATAATTCCTTAGTTACAAAAATCTTTTTAGTGAATTGAATTATTTTTGTGTGGCTCTGAATATTGAGGTTAATTCCCATAACACTGTACCCAATGCTCATGCATTTCTTTGAAACAAACATCATGGCAAATGCATAAATTATGTCCAATACGTTTTCAAAATTCTTCAAAATTAAAAGAAGTTGAACTCTCTTCTCATAATAAAACAAAACTAAATCCAGGAAACAAGACAAGACTAAACCCGGGAAGGTATTACCAGGAATTTCACAAAAGGCACAGTAAATAAGGGTGAGTTTCACCTGTTTAAATAGTAACAACTATTTAAACTTAACTTGGGACTATCGGCTGGCACAACATGTCTGGAAGGCATGTTTTGTTAGGGTACATTATGAACCTTAAAAACTTACAAACCTTCTAGCCCCAAATTTTGTCTTACTAAATAATTGGTTCTCAGCATAAAATCAAGAATGCATGCTAGGGTGTTTACTTGGTGCATATACAATATTTTATCACATGTACATTAAAAATGGGAGAAAACAAGGATTAAAAAACAAGATGAAATAGGAACACAGTTGGATGATATAGGCGAATATTTATGAAATAACGGGTGTGGCCCCATAACCCTCTACAGCATTCTTTATGAATTAGTCAATTCTCCACAGCCCTTGGCCCACTGCTATAGTTATACTAGGAATGGTAGAGTGGCATTTTTGGATCTGGCTTTACGAGGTCATAGGTTACTGAGGAAAAAGATTAGGGAAGAGAGAAAAGTGTTTCTTATTTCACAAGTAGACATAATGGGCTGTGACATTTGGACTCCTTTTCCATATCTTTTTCTTCTTCTGGGTCATTGGAGGTCCTTCTCCAACCTTCTGAGGTTTATTTTCAGAGGTCAGTTCCAGGGTTAGTGCAAGTATTGTGGATCCAGATTTGTCTTTGGAGAATGGAATATTGGTTCTCCATTTCTTTTCCCAGGGCACCAGCCATTGTGTGTTTAGCTCATCCTCCATGTGCATATAGTGAGTGAGTGGATCAGGTTTCAGTCTAGATTTACAAAAGCCACAGCCAAGAAGTTTCCGAAAAGTTCTAAAAGTTGTAATTAACCTTGTCTATAGGCATGATTCTGTTTATCCCTTTTTTAAAAAAATTTGTTTTAAATTTTTTAGTCAGAATCTTACTATGAGCCCAGGCTGGCCTAGAACTTACAAACAAGTTACAGAGTGTGCACCACCATATTCTTGTAAAAATGTTAATATTAGCTGAGCTCTGGTGGTTCCCAGCTGTAATTCTAGCTTCTCAGGAGGCTGGGATTTGATAATTGTGGTTCCAAGCCAGGCCAAGCAGTAAAGTCTGAGACTCAGACCTCTAATTAACTACCAAAGAGCTGGAAACAGAGCTGTGGCTCAAAGTGGTAGAGCACTAGCCTTAAGTACAAAAGCTCAGAGACAGTGCCCAGGACCAGCATGGGGAAAAAAAGTTAAGATGTTTATTTACTTCTTTATTTTCTATAACTTATCATTTTTTCTTTCGTTGAGTCCCTGTAATTACTTAACAGAACTGGGACAGTCTGATTTAGAATAGGCCTCTTTTAAGATACTCTGCTATGAAGATTTGTGAAATTGTCTTGAGTGAACAGCCATTTGTCCTAAAGCAACTCTGCTGTCTTTTATAAACTAAAGAAAGGAAAAAGGCCCATGCAGTGGACACAGGACTCAGTCATGAATTCATTACTTTGATAATCAAGTCCATTTAACCGAATATTCAACCTCCTACAAAAATGGCATTTTTAAAATCTTGACAACATAGTGATACTTGGAAATTACTCATTAACACAGTCTTATAATCTTGAATTACCACTACAGTGTGTTCGCTATTAACTTATGGTATTATGTGATAAATAGATCTTTATAGCAAAGACCTTTTCTGCTCCTGCCTGTTTTACTTTCTTTTTTTGTAAAGCCTGGTTTTGGACTGTTTGTCGGACCACTGAAGAGAAGGGGTGTCGTTCCAAATTAAGCTATATCTGAGGTAAAGCTTTTTTTCTTTTGTTCCTCTATCAAGTAGAAATGACTCTTTGGTGCCTTCCTTTTCTAATTATACCTTCTCAGGCCAGCCCAGCCTTGCTTGCTTCAGCTGCTCCCTGCAGCAGGTGTCAGGAAAGGAAATAACTTCAGTGCTTCTAACTGATTCATCAGAGAGTTATGAGATACCTACCTCTCCTTTTTTTCTTTCTTTCTTTTTTTTTTTATAGCTCCTACATGCTACAACCCTGGAGCCAAAGAATTTAATTTTAAATAAGTATCCAACAAAATGAGGCAGCAGGAATTTCTTCCATACCATCAGGCTGATTTTTTAGCATATGTGTAAACATGTTTCTGAGTATTCTTTCTTTTATTGAATAGAATTAATCTTGATCTAAGTAAGAATACAGTTTCTGTTAGAAATGATAACTCCTGATTAAGAAAAACTTCATACTCCTTAAAATTTTGTCTATTTTGTTTTAACTAAGTAGTTAGCTAGATTCCTTTACCCTTATGGTCCTCAAGATCACCAATGTCAGTCTGATTCTTCTTCTTCTTCTTCTTTTTTTTTTTTGTCGGTTGTGGGGCTTGAACTCTGGGCCTGGGCGCTGTCCCTCAGCTCTTCAGCTCAAGGCGAGCGCTCTACCACTTGAGCTACAGCGCCACTTCCGGTTTTCTGGTGGTTTATTGGAGATAGGAGTCTCACGGTCTCTCCTGCCCGGGCTGGCTTTGAACCGCAATCCTCAGATCTCAGCCTCCTGAGTAGCTAGGATTACAGGCGTGAGCCACCAGCGCCCGGCTTCTTTTTTTTTTTAACCTCCTGTTTTATTATTTTTTTTATTTTTGGGTCCGGTCGTGGGGCCTGAACTCTGGGCCTGGGCGCTGTCCCTCAGCTCTTCAGCTCAAGGCTAGTACTCTACCACTTGAGCCACAGCACCACTTCCGGCCTTTTCTGCTTATGTGGTGCTGAGAAATCGAACCCAGGGCCTCATGCATGCAAGGCAAGCGCTCTACCACTGAGCCACCTTCCCAGCCCCTGATTCTTCTTCTTATTTCATTTTGCTTCACTTTCTTGTAGGATTGGAGACCAGCCCTACGGCCTTGTTCATGTAACTACCACTGTGCTGCATTCCCAGCCTACAACAATCTTTAGTTCCATGCTAAGATTAATGACTCCTAAATTTGTTTTTCCAGCTCTCCTGAATTCCACGCTCATGTGCCCGCCTCAGCTGCTTACTGAGCACCTCTGCCTCCATGTCCAGTGGGCATTTCCAAAGCAGCATGTTTAGATCTCGTCCTTCCTCTTCACGCTTTGCCTCCTGCTCTTTCCCTATCTCTCCCTCCTTCTGTGGTTTGGGCCATGTACTTGACAACCATCCTTGATATTCCACACCTAAGCTAGTAGCAATAATGTTGGCTCTTTACCTGAACCAGAACCAGAACATTTCTCACCTATCTTTGCCCACAAACACCCTGGTCTATCTCCCACCTGCTTGAACTCAGTGCTGTCTAACTGTTCTTTTTCCTTCTTGTCCCTGTAGCTTGTCTTCAACAGAGAGAGTCAGATCTTACCACTATGCTCTTCAAATGGAGTCGGGGTCA